CCCCAAAACCCCAAAACCCCAAAACCCCAAAACCCCAATTTTTGGTTAAAGGATTGAATAAAAGATTAAATCTCATGCTAACCTACTGTAGGCATCCCTAAAATGTTCTTTTCGAGGTTTACTGCCTTCTTACTATCACTTAAGCTTTCTTTAGAAATGAAGAGAAGTGAGAGAACGCTTTATGTTGGTGGGAGTCTCCTAACTAGAGGTTTGCATATTCAATGAAACTTTCTTCTTTACAAATGTTAGCATTCATTTAAGACCCTTATGCAGAGACACTAGGACCTAAGTTTTAGTCGAAACAAATTAGTGTGTAAACTTCCTGCCGATCTTGGGCAATATGGAGTTAGATCACTTGAAGGATCTGTTTATGCTGGATTTCAGGCAAGCTCCAAGTTTCTCATCTCTTTTACAGTATTCATGCTGCTTACCCTTCGTCAGGTTTCCTTGGGATAGCGCAGAGGGGCAAATAGAGAAGGTTACATTAGCTGTAAAAATATTTAGCTGAGGAGAATTTTCACCCATTTTATGAAATATATATCTGTTATTTATTGTTGCTGATATCATCGTAATTATAGTTATTTCCATGAGGAGAGGGCAGGCTACTACCTCTATCCCTCAATACCTTAGCCTAAAGAGTTTACTATAAACTTACCTTTAATTTTAGAAACTGGTATTTATCAATTTTTCGCTTCCGGTTTAAAATCTTTTCTTTGTTAAACAGTTTCGTAGCAAGGGTAGTTTTTGCACCAGAAATCCTCATTTTTGCAGCTATAATGCTATTTCAATTTCATCTGGGAATTGCCAATCTGTTTGCTCAAGATTAGATTGTTATGTCAAGTTAGGGTATTCCCACTTCAATGATTAATGATGCTATCAATGTTTCTTCATGCAAACTTTTTCTTATTTTTCATATCAATACTCGAGATGCTTCTAACCTTTTTATTTGTATTGAGACTCTAAGATAATGAACTAGTTTACTTTGCTTTATACTCTTCTTTAGTAGTTCTACTGAGCCTTTTCTTAAGGCTAGCTTGAGCAATTTATTTATTCATCTTGTATCTATTTTTGCTTAAAATCTCCTAAAATAGAAACTACCTTCTAATTTACACAATAAACTTCAAAATTAAATTCCAAACTCTCAGAATCACTCTTAAAGGTCCTAAACTGTCTCCTCACCTCCAAAATTACCAATTTCTGAATCTTCCAATGTACTCCACAGTCTTCTGCCAGCCTGCCTTGTCTTGTCACGGTTAAATTTCCCCCTGAAGACAACAGCTTCTTCCATAAATTTCTGAACGGCCATCTGCGGTTGCATATTGCTCCTATGTAATAAATTATTTAATATATTCAACAGTGGTGGCCTCTTCAGGGGTTTTGGGGTTTTGGGGTTTTGGGGTTTTGGGGTTTTGGGGTTTTGGGG